ATGAAAACCTCTTTTCCGAACACTAGCTCCAATATGATTTCTCGTTTGATGACACCTCACCCTTTTTATTGCGACAATGTTTACCTGAATTCTACCATGTTTGGAGCTCATTCATTGACTGCATGCGGTTGTCTACTTTAAAGAAAGTACCAAGTGTTACTGATCAACACTAACGTCTTCGCACGTGACAGACGCAGCTCTGCCCTGCGTACTGAATCACGGTTGACAAAGCATAAGAGTGTTACAGGAAGCCTGCTAAGCGAAAGCTACACGAAAGGGTTCTACGTGCAAGGTGCAGCTACATTACAATGCGCAGATGCCCAAGCCTCGAATGCAGGCTCCACGGGCTTCTGTTTCTTGAAAGCATGTACTTATGGTGCCGCCTACGTTCTTAGATGAAGCTTCGAGGAAAGCTAAGTACTGATTTAGCATAGCGAACAACAATGCGTCTGCAATCGTGATAATCTACGCACATACCTTCAAACGCAAAGGAAACGTGACCTACAGAAAGATGCAGCACATACAAAGAATGGTCGTCGTGGTACATTCCTTAGCCTCGTGTGTAGTTCTCACGCCTCTACTGTTGCTCTGTGAACATTGCGAAGTGACCGACATCCAGGGTTCGCTCTTTCGGTACATTTAGGAGACAACTAGCATAAAGCAGAATCTAGGATAGCTCAGCAGGTCTGTGTTCTATTGAAGGGCTACGAAGACCGATTGCATGAGTATTGCTCGGAGGATAGCCTTACGGTTCCATGGTTTACGAGGTGTGTCACACGAAGCTGAGAGGTCTTGCTTAGGGGGAGCTCGCAACATTACAGATCAACTGCAAGGTGTGAAGATAAAGTTTCCTAAAAATATAAAAACTTTACACGAAACGCTCTTTCTACTCCATTCAGGTGTCAGCTTGGATGCACGTTATATCAATGTGTCAATTCACAGAGAAAAGGTTTGAGGCATTCAGTGTTACATTAGAATAAACATAATAAAGCAACTAGGCTACTTAGAGTAGAGGTTGCAAACTGTTATCAGCGCGTATTTTAATGTTTCATAATTGAGTGGTCAGCCATGTTTCATTTTATCACAAAAAAGAACTAAAAACATACGCCCAAAATATGTGCGCGCATAAATTTCGGTTGTATGCTCAGCAAAAAAGAAGATACTTTTGACGTTGCTTTTAAAATACGGCACATCGAAAGAGCCTGCCGAACGTCGCAGTGCGTTTACTAAAGTTCTCAGTTACGGTGATGCGCAAAACACTGTGCTTAATATGGGCTGACAATGGAGACAGTTTAGATCATCCAATGAGTAATGCATCTTACTCTTTTTCGACAACAAGTTGACACCGCTGGCGTAAACAAAGGGCGTACAGAAACGTAGTGATCGCACTGAAAATGCATACACAGTTGCAGTGAAGTTCTTTGTTTTCCAGAGATTAGGACGTGTGACAAGTTTTTTTAAAAGAAGGTTAGGTGCCGTTCTCTATACGAAGCATCTTCTCAATTCTCGCGCCACTAAAACGGTGATTCTAGAGGTTCTCGTTGTCCCCCTCTTTTTGTTTGGCCTTCAAATCATCTCGTTCTGTGTGTTTGCCATACATCACGGACATCTCACGAAGCTACCAGTGAAAAGTGCCTTAAGAACTACCCCACTTCAACTTTATCTGCATATTAGAGCTAATCACAACGCAATAAAGATGATTTATGCCTCATTAAGTTGAAATTTACAGTATAGTGACTGCAAAATGTAATAAAACAACGATATATTCAACAAATATAAAAAATTGCATCCTAATAAAAGGCACATTTGTATTCTAATGAAATATTCTGAATAGAACAAAAGAAAGTGACGTCGCAAGGCTGTTTTGCTTCTGTCAAGTTCATTAGTGAACTTCCCAATTTGTGCTATAGTAGAAACCGACTTACAAATACTTGTGTGAGGTCTAACAAATACTTTTGGCCTTACTGACACGTTCGCTTCTAGCTTCGATGTGGCCTCCACTTCAGTGAGATTTGCTCGAATAGTTCGTGCTGGGGGTAACAACGAGTTACCGAGAGCTCGGACGCAGTGCGTTTTCACTTCCTCCGCACACACTTACGCGGATTACTTCTATAACTCAAGCGGGGTCACTGCATAGCGAAGCCGAATTTGAAGGGTGCAACTTTCATTGGATCCGCTTCAAGTGTTTCTCCAAAGGGCCGTGAAGGAGGAGGTTGATTTAAGAACGATGTCAAGTTTATAGACATTTATAGATTGAGGACGAGAGGAAGGAAAAAAAAATGCTGGAAAGGACAAAAATTGTGTTTACTAAGTCCAGCACTATCGGCAGTTTGTAGAGACCTCACAAGCAACTCTATACCACGTCAGAATATACAAAGAACGACCATACTTGCGTTTTCTGGCCACACTGATGTATCTGCAGAGTTGAGTGTTCAAATTTAAGCCCTGTATGTGGGAATTTCCGGTAAATGTCTTGCATACGCTACTAGTGTACGCTGTGCGTGCGTGATATCCATTTTTTTCAGCTCAGTCAGTAGTCTGTACGGTTGGTATTTAGTCAGAAAATTACTACGCTTGTTCTGTAACATTGTGCTCGACAATATGTTACAGCGATTAGGTAAGACGTAGAGTATGACAGGTAGGTAAACTTATGACGCTGTTAAGTAGCACTAGTGAAAATTTTCGATATGCATCCTATTAGTGGGAACATTCACTCACAGACACCGTTTGAGAAGTGCTTATAGTCTTGGTTGTTCATGAACATCCAGTATGAAAGTCTGATATCAAAACGTCATTTGTGAACTGTTATTAAGCTGAAATCGCTTTCAAGCGTGACTCTAAGTTTAGTATGTGTAGCTATTTCAAAAGTAAGCCTCCGAAATTCAACCCCGAGAAATTTCACTGTGAGTTAATAGTCAATCTTCTTATTTGTGACAATAAATGACAGTCATTACTAACTGGAAATCAATGAACAGAAATGGTGTACTGCAATCGCATTCTTGTTAATGTGATCGCGCTTGGAAACTACTGTTACCTGCCATCAACGAGTTCTCGGTAGTGTCCTTCCAGTAAGATGCCCGGTTAGTTCAATGCATCACACACTCTCTCAAGACCTTCCGAAATTAACTCTGTCTAAATACATTGCAAACAGCCTCTTGTCACTCGAGAACGAAAATGCGAGCATCGCAAGACGGTTCGTTATCTATAAATAAAGTCAACAAGTGAAATGAAGCTGTTTAACAGTAAGCTACGGCCGTTGAAGCTATTACTACGTCGAAGGCATGCAGTGCACACTGTTTCAACACAAATCAGGGCGCGTTACATTGAGGCAACATACAGAAGGCACCCATGCTGTGGCTGCGACAGCCTTGGTTCTAAATTGCACAGCGTTTGCACAAGATTTGCACAAGATTTGCACAAGATTTGCACAAGATTTGCACAACATTTGCACAAGATTTACACAAGCACGAGATTCGTAACAGGATGAACGCGGACCGCAGTTCATGTGTTGGCACTGATCCCGTGAACCGTTTTTTTTTTGCGCAACAATCGCTAGAAATAAAGCAGGCATCTAGAAAATGTGTCCAAAACAGTCGAGAGGACCACGTCCTTGAACCTTTGCCGGTGCCGGTTTTTTCAATCGAAGACAGGGATGACACATAGTGCATTTAGACGCTGTGTATGCTTTCCCGTGTCTGATGTAAATGCTCATGGCCACGCCCCAGCTAACACGCGCATCATGAAGCGTCATGGCCTTTTGCCCCTCTCAGAGGAAAATCCTCATAGGAACCGTAAGTGAACGACCGACATGTCATCGCAGCGGCTTCTGGAACTATCGAACAGTCGGTCAGCTGCGAAAGCTCGTATCCATTTGAGTTTCAGGCTTCAGAGGTGTGATAAGGGGTGGGGGAGGGGCTCTGGTTGTACCTGATGAATACGCCAGAATCAGCATTCGTCATCGCCATAACTTGCACCATGTACGCATATCGAAGAGCTGCCCGAGAGACGCCATTTCCTGCTTGGTGCATACGCGTTGTTAAGGCAACAGTGCTGTCGTGCTTCCCGTTTACAAATAGTTTACTCGCCTCGCCTTCGCTTTGCATTCGCGCTAACTGCGCTCGTCCTATAAGAGATAATGTTGAAGTAATATCCAGCCTTACTGTAGCCTAATTCACGCATTAGGACCACCACTGAGATATTAATTTTGGGCAAATTTTTCGATTCGGTATATTTTCGTCTGTAAAAAATATTTTCGGATTGTTTTGTTGTTTCTAGATACAAACAGGTGAACGACAATTTTATCATTAAAATAAATTTTTCCCAGGCTTCAAGGTACCACAGCCCTCATTCACTCCATTCCTTTTTAGGTCAACAAAATTTTCCGAAGGGTTACAGAATTCTGATTAATTAAAGCCACAAGAATCGGCACAATTTTCGCTGAAATCGGCTTTTTTATATAATTTCTGAAAGGCAGCTATAGCTGCAGCTGCAAATCCGTTTCCGAACAGAGCTTCCGAGACTGCACTGTCAGTGTTTCCTTCAGCTTTTTTTTATATCGCCCCAGCACTCCTTTACATGCTTTATATAGCCCCGCCGCGGTGGTCTAGTGGATAAGGTACTCGGCTGCTGACCCGCAGGTCGCGGGTTTGAATCCCGGCTGCGGCGGCTGCGTTTCCGATGGAGGCGGAAACGCTGTAGGCCCGTGTGCTCAGATTTGGGTGCACGTTAAAGATCCCCAGGTGGTCGAAATTTCCGGAGCCCTCCACTACGGCGTCTCTCATAATCATAAGGTGGTTTTGGGACGTTAAACCCCACATATCAATCATTATATTATGCAGGCAATAATGCCTATCTCCCTTCCGGTGCTATGATGTGAAGAGCATTCCGCGCAGAAGGCGACGAATTGGAGCACACACAGCACTCGCAGCATTTTGGACAGGCACTGCCACAAGTAGTCGAGCCACGTTAGTCCCAACCAGACAGGGCGGGACTTCCCGAAACTGGAGTCACTGTAGTGGTCAACGCTGTCCTTCAGAACGAGTCGACCACCCTGTACAACGCCGTGTAACCGCAGCACCGCGCTCGCAGCTGGTCCACGAGCACGCACGCCTCCGGCACGTAGTCCATGAGCGTCGGGCACTCGCAGAGCAGCACGTACGTGATGCCGTGGTCCTGGGGGCAGATCTTCTTGTGAAATGTGATGCGACGCAGGCCGAGGTGAGGAGGCAGGCGCCGGTAGATCTGGCGAGCCCCGGTCCACAGCAGCCACGACCTGTCGAGCTTCTCACGGTCCTCGCCGGGAAAGACGCGGAAGGCGGAGAGGATGTAGCCAGTCTTGCTCGAGCTGGGCTTCCGCGGCACCTCGTTCACGGGGGGCCTGGCGATGGTGGCCACTTCGTCGTAAACGGCTGCAGGTGTTCCGGGGCGGAGGCGGGGAGAGTACATGCAACGAAAAAAAAAATTGTCGTAGATTAGGGATCGCACTGAGACGTAACGACGAAAGTATGATGGGTGATATAACAGGTAACAGACTGCTGGAACATTGGTGAAGATCGATAACATTATAATCATTACGTCGGCGATGTTAGCCTGGTTCATCGCCAACTAAACGGGTTTGAATTTGACCATGCTGCATAGCATAGTCATATACACACACTTAGGTACGGTCCCGCACACACAGACATAAATTAGTTATTAATAAAGCTTCGTTAAGGTGTGCAATCCTCTCAAACATCAATAACGCCTATAACGGCGAGTTTGGTTTAAAGCGCTGTCCTGTTCACTTTCACAGTCGGGGCCTTTGGCGAGCTTGAAACTATGTTTTTTTTTTAGATGCGGAGCATCTAATACTCGAGGCTTGTAGTGCGGCGCCGTCCGCAAGCTTCCTCCTCCTTCTTCCACCATCTGTGCATCCCTTCCTCCTCTACACACCGCGCGCGCTTCACTCCTCCACCATCTGTGCACCCTTCCTCCTCTACACACCGCGTGCGCTTCTCCTCTTCACGAACGCGCGCATGCGCCGTTGCGCTTCTCCCCCTTCTCGAACATTCGACAGCTGACAGTGCATGCGCCGTCGCGCTATATATATACTCAAGGTCGGTGCTCGCTCGCTCAGTTGCCGCTCGTCGGTTGGTTTGTACGGCGCGTCGACGTCCGAGGTCGCAATGATCGACGTCCTTTCGACCAGCGCCGGCCAAAGTGTTGGCGGAACCGCAACCAAGTCGTCGTCCGAAGACAAGGCAGCGCGGAGAAGAGCTCGCGACGCCGAACGTAAACGTCGGCGTCGAGCGGAAGATTCTCAACTTAGAGAACGTGAAGCCGCTGAGAGACGTCAGCGTCGAGCAGCAGCACCGGATTCGGCCGCTTTGAAACGTAAGCGTCGACAAGAGGACCCGGACTTTCGAAAACGGGAAGCCGAGTGCAAGCGTCGGCGACGAGAGGCCGATCCCGATGCTGCCCGCGAGCGCTCATTTAACACCCCTCCTACAACCACGTTAACCAATTTAGCCAGCGACCCAAGTAAGTCGCAATTTAACACCCCATTTCACAACCACGTTAACCAATTTAGCCATCGACCCAAGTAAGTCGCACTTTAACACCCCGTTAACCAATTATATGCTCCGCATCCTCCTCAGTGTTCCCCCGAGGGAAGCTGCGGGCAATTTTTTTTAACACGAGCGCTTTTTCGTTGCGTATCACGCTGGTTGTGCTTGGCCTTGGGCCGAGGACGTCCCACAGCTCTAACCGCCAGCCACGTTGAAAATACCGATATTCACACTCGTTTAGTCAACACCAGTCATCGGTAGCTATCATCTAGAAACGCTTTAGTCAGTAGTCGAAATCATTAGCCACGTTCATCAAATGCCATCCAGCCCCAGCCAACATAAAGAGCAGCTATTGGCCAACGTAAGCTAACACCAGCTAACATTCGACATATTTTCAACGCTTGTCACTGTTTAAGTAATGTGAAAACACCGGTAGTAGGTGAGCGGGTATGACATTCGACGTGAGAGATAGAAAGACGTTAGAGAGATGTGTATAGCTCAACCAGGCTTAGCTGGTCTCTTGAACACGAACTGCCGCTAGAAGGAAGGTTGGGTGAAAGTTTAGAAGCATGAAAGAAGTTTGTACTTAGTTGTAGTACACGAATACAGTGAAAGTATAGAGTATGGTCATTCCCTTACTTTCATGATTAACCCATGCCTTTTTGTCAGGCTTGGTAAATTATTTCCCTTCTCTAAAACTGAGTTTGCGTGGCGAATCTTGGCAAAAGCATTCTCTTTGAAATGACTCAATGTTAATTGATCAAAGATTACGCATAGCCCATGTGCTCAGATTTCGGCGCACGTTTAAGAACCCCAGGTGGTCGAAATTTCTGGAGTCCTCCACTACGGCGTCTCTCATAATCATATGGTGGTTTTGGGACGTTAAACCCCACATATCAAATCAACAAACACGCGTACGCATTACCTCAATAACCTCTGCTTATGTTGAATTATTTTAATTATATTGACATCAGCCAACCGTCTGTCACCACAAGCAGACATTACCGAGGACTGGCGTCATGCAATCGACTACGCGTGAGCATTACCTGGAACTTGGGGTGTTAGTCACCGTGGAGGCTTTTTTCATTTGTATTTTCAAACAAACCCCTTGCGAATAATATGAGGATAGTATATAAAGCGCGGTAGTTCCCATCACCTAATTTGGTGTGAACGGTTGAAAAAAAAAACATCTTCGAGCTCTTGTACAAACATTCATGAAACAACTTGGCACGTTCTGTGTGAATGCCCACAATACGGCTCGCAGAGACAGTCACTCTGCAATGCACTAGATGAACTGGACAACCAGCCTCTTTCGGAAGAAAGAATCCTGTGCTGCAGACAGGACTTTATGTCGCAGAAGAAGGCTGTGAAGGCGCTCCTGCGCTTCTTGCGTTCAACCGGCCTGTCCAAACGACTGTGATCGGAACACCCTGAATGTGTGCGCATGTGGTTTTTTTTCAAATTTATTTTATATCTCTATATCTATCTTCTTTCCGACCCTTTTCCCCGCCCCCGTACAGGGTAGCAAACCAGTTCGCCTAGGTTAACCTCCCTGTCTCTTCCTTTTATTTATTTCTCTCTCTCTTCATGCTAGTGTAGGCCAACTGTCACGACAGTTTTACTGCATGAATTAGCCTTCTCGACGTAAACACAAGGTTACATATGATTGTTCTGTTGGGAGTGGCAAAAGAATGACATTTTGTTACGAATATTGATAGGATGTCTTTCATGCGTGATAAATAATATGGGTAATAAGAATTATATTCATAATCGTCTCAATATAAAAAGAAAACGTTAGGTTAAAATAATAACGAGCCGAGACTTCAGAGGAGCATGGAGGCTTTGAAAAGATGATTATCGTTAACAGGTGGTGTCGCTGGAGTCGATGTTACGACGTGTCCTCTTGTGTTTATTAAGGCAGTAGCTGTTGCTGCCTCGTACTAGATAGAACAACGTATCGAAAAACTCGGAAACAATGACTCCAGTGACACAGTATGCTCAAAAAACTATTTAATTTCACAAAATGTTCAAACATTTGTTGTATCTAAGAACGTTGGGTGGGCAGATATGATTAGAAAGTTTCCAGCGTGGATCTGAACTCGGCCAGCACAGAATTAGGGTAATTAGAAAAAATGCGGCGAGGCACTCTCCCTAAAAGGGACGTGGTGATGACTATTTTTAGTGATGGTGATTATAACGACATAGAATTTCAGCTTTACCATACTTTTGCATAAATCGCACTTTTATTGTTTTTAGCGGGAAGCATTCGCAGCTAGTTTATTCTCGTTACACCCCTGTAGTTTTGAAGCGTGCACGAAAAAAGCAGCATCAAGCCCACAGGTCACCCAATCATGCTTTTGCTTCGTGGAAGCACGTTTGGGAATGCGCTGATAGTGCTTGTTACATTCACGTTTTTCAGTCAATGAATGCTAAATTGTTTGACATGGACCGGCATCTATTTTTACCGTAGCAAAAGGCCAATACGTGACCGGATGAACAAATGACCGCGGACACGAGTTTGTGTCGCTCTCCGTACGTTCGCGCAAATTTCGTCGACTGCGTGTTTGATTGAGTTACACCTTGTCGACGAGGCCCAAGTACGTCACCTTAAAACACGCGTTGAATATAAACGTTGGTTGTGAACTAACCCCTTTTTGTCGGCTTTGTAAACATTTCAGAAGTATTGAAAAAGAGTGAAATACAAGGCCCATATCTATATACCCAATGCAAAATTATTCGACTGCATTCTATCTGTTATTTCTTTGAAATGCAAGCAGGAAAGCATCGTTTGAATTGCAAATGATTTGCAGCAGCTGAACCCGAGGGCATTCTTTCGATCCAGTGAACTGTAGTTCTTCGCTCCCAGTTTTCGTATTCGGCTCATGCGCTTCTGAGCACAACACACGCACACACACACACACACGCACACACACACACACACACACACACACACACGCACACGCACACGCACACGCATACACACACACACACGTACACACTCAGACACACACACCCACCCACCACCCACCCACCACCACACACACACACAGCACACACACACACACACACACACACACACACACACACACACACACACACACACACACACACACACACACACACACACACAGCACACGCACACACACAACGCCAATATCAAAGTTTTTCACTCCTTGGTGTCTGTAGTGTTAGAAGCAGTACAATCTTCCGAACAACAGTTTCTGTTGTTTCATTCTCCAGGTTGCAATTTTCGGTGGCACGGTTTCAAAAAAAAAAGTAAGTAACCCGAGAAATCATAAATTTGAAAAGCAGCTCTGAGTACCTAATAATATATAATATATATATATATATATATATATATATATATATATATATATATATATATATATATATATATATATATATATATATACAAAAATATAGATATTTTCATTCTGCGCCGTTTTCGTTTTGGACACAGTGTTCTCTCACGTTACATTCCAGCGTGGAAATACTCGATGGTATGTCTCGCGACATCTAAATAAAAACATACAAAATTAAGGATTGTCTTTCTTTTGAAAACTGTGATCCTTGTCTAGACGACGGAGGTTTTGTATATGCATGTGGAGCATATATTGATTTTTTCGGGAAGGAACAGTAAGCCCCAGAGTTTCGACAACAGCTGCGTGCAATTTTGGCTGTTTCGCATGGGGTAGGACAAGCACAGCAAATGCGCTAGAGCACAGCAAGCCATACAGGGGTGACCAGCACAAGTTGAGCGAAGAAGAATCGAATCAAATGACTAAGACCAAAGCGTAGATACTGGAGACCTACATGGTACCGATAATATTAGGCTCCACTGGTGTATCAATTCGTTAGAGGAAGCTTTAAATAAGAATATCAGGTATAAATACACGGGAAAGGGGACGCAATAGTGTTGCATAGAAGACTAATTCATAAAACTGGTTGACGTTATGCTTCATTCTCGATCTATATGTAAGTTATTTTGAAAAGAAGTTTTGCTTATGTTATATTGTCACAGTATCAAAAGCAAAGTGCTGAGTCGCACTACAGCGGGATAAAACTGACGCCTGCGCTCTAACATGAATTAGTGACGTTGAATCTGACCATAAGGTATCCGTTAATGTCCGGTAATCGGTGCGCCTAGTAAGCAGACGCATGCCAGCACAGCTAATTCTATTTACAAAAGCACGTCGAACAACCTTGTATATAATGCCTGCCTCAAAGAAAAAAAATAAATACAGCATAGACAGATCCTCACAGTCTGTTTCACATGCAACCAATTTCGACAATGAATGGGATCTGCCGGATTTCAAGGCTCTGTAACCTATGGCAGAAAGAAGTTTTTGAGGTGGGTGGTTGGGATGGCCAGGGTTCTCGAGGGACCATCCCCGGGCGTAACAGTTGGACTTCTCCTTTCGCCACCCTTCGACCTTCCTGATGGCGTCATCAAATATGCCATTCGATGCCTACCCCACAAAAAAACTAACAACTACACCTTAGTTCAGTTACAAGTCACCTATATTCAGTTCTGATGTTATACCATACGTACCTCTCAAAAATAATAAAAACTGAACCTGTTTTAAGTTACAAATTACTTATATTTAGCTCTGTATTCTTCTGTGCTCTGTATTCCTATATTCTCGTACTTCCACGTTAGTGATGCTAGAGAGATGTCGTTACCTGCAACTGGCCGTGCTTGAGTACATGTCGAAGTCGTGCTCACCCGTATGGTGTAGCCGTTCTCCCTCCGGACCAGCATCGTGATGACTCTCCATTTGCATAATTAGCCGCAAGGGGTCGCATCGAGCAGCATCGCACACGAGGTAGGTGACGAACGGGAACTGACCTGCAAGCATGAAAAAAAAACGTTAAGATCGAGTTAGGGGTGCTTGCCGACTGTTTATATCTTCCGCAACAAAAATGCGCAACAGAGTTTGGCCAGACGGTAGGGTAGCAATTACTCTAATTAGTGTTAATGATGTGTTTGCGGTAATAGTCCTACTGAACACTCATCATCAACTACGCCTAGTCATGCTTAATTCACCCGATGCACTGCGAAAAAAAAAAACAGAAGGTCAGGGTAATATGTTCGCTTGAAGTTCAAAGAAATTTTTATAATAGAGCAACGTCACAGCAAGAAGACTTCCCTTCACTATGGCACATGTGCCTTCTTAAGCAGTGCTTAAATGGGCTACCGCTGCATCCTCCTCCGGTGGTTTTTAACAATACATGGCAGGCAAGGGTACGTGAGGCCACAAATTGTTCTCGCAGCCAGCTCTATACATGAAAAGATTGTCAAACATGCAGTAGTATTATCAAATAAACGCTTGGGTACGTGGCGCCGACCTCATAGCCCCGTGCACGTAATACAGGGTATAGGACAGTGTAACTCGTTTTATAAGTGGGACTAATTCTGAAAAATTTGTGAATGACAGCTTTTGGAACGTAAGCGTCGCACAAGTGAAGCCACCATTTTACTGTAGCTTAGCCTAAAAACAGAACCACTGGTGTGATGCCTGATTTCAGCGACAGTGATTTTGTCCGGCTAAAGTAAATGCTAGGCTAAAAGATACCGCTGCTTCTTACGAAATTAATACATTTGGATGAATGTTGGTCTGCCATCGTAACCACTAGTCATTGCTAGAACCACAGGAAAAACATGGCGGTCTTTGGCCACCCGTGGCTCTTGCTTCAAAAATGTGAAAAATCATCATCGTTATCACCAGGAGTATTGATAATAAAATTTTTACTATATTTTTTCAACGCTATGAGAATTTTTGCAGATTAATCAACGAAAAACATCCGTTGAGCAGTATCTGCTCAGGAAAATAGGCTGTAATGCATTGTTGATATTGTAAGGTCATGTGACAAAATTGCTGCTTCACATTTGCTCTATGCCGGCGTTTTACATTGGCTGGAGCAATATGGTGGAGGTGTACTCAGTACTTTCGGAGTGTATATTATACTCAAACACAAAATTCCTGAAACTAGCTTAGAAAATTGCATGTTTGCAGCGTCGGTCGGCTTGATAGATCGATCATGTACTTTGTGATCTGCAGCTTGATTTTACGAGCGAAGTTCCTTGAGGTCCATGCTTGTGCATAGCCGATGCGCGCCGTAGCGACCGCTGACGATGAGGATGACGTTAATGCAAATGAAATTTAAGAACAAGTGCGTTCCAGACAACAGATTCTCTCAGCCTTCACAACACAGCACTTGGAAGGTACAGACTTTACGTCATGACGATGACGCTGATACGATAAAGAACAAGCGCGTTCCAGACCACACATCCCATTTCTGCTATCGCAGCACAGCACACGCAAGGTACCCCCTGTACGCCATGACGATGACAATGACGCCTATGACAATTACGATGACGATCACGGACAACGACTCGTTTGTTCAGTGTATGACGCCTCGAGATGCTCGATGCATTTAGTTTGACTGGGAAACCGTCAGCCATCAGCAGGGGAACGTGCCCAGACGTCGTCTTTGCCAACTTCAAGCTAGATTCCATAGCTAAGGCAGTAATAATGAAGGCAAAACAAAACTCGCAACACAGCATACCAGTTGTGAACAACAAACGTTATTTATAACTGTACACCAATTTGGCACTCGTTTACATGCGTGAGTGGTCAGTGTCACAAGCGATTTTGTGGTAACGCCAACCAATCCCACTCTTTCACCTACTCATCGTCATTCACTTCGGGGATATGGCGTGATGTTTTTCAAAAGCGTGGCGCCATTCTTGATCCACAAAGCGCAACCCGTATTTACATAAAAAAGGCACGTTGGCCTTAGTATGAGAAGTTGGGCTTCTCTTCACATATGGTAAAGACACTTCTTATAACATGCAAAAACTAACAGATAGCTTCTTAGGGTGCTCTTCAAGAACCGTTTTTTTACTGTTATAGCAGCAGCTGTAGTTAGCAATCTCAGAAGTGAATTATTATCGTCGCCCATTTTACGTAGTTAGGCGAGCTACAATAAATTGCCTGACTTGGTAGAGCAACCATAAGTAACTTTACCGTCGTCTTTGTTTTCAGCTACGCGTTACCCTCATATTTCGAAGCTCTAGGGAAGAGTAAGATGTTTCAATTGCAAAAACTGAAAATAAAAGCTGAGCGCTGCAACTGCCTGCAGCAGAGTGCGGACACCTCAGCAGTAGCTCACAAGAGAAAGTATGGGATGAAGAGGGATTAAAAAAGCTAGAGAAGTAGAGATTGAGATAATGATAAAAGATTGAGAGATGATTAGAGAAGTCCATTGACGGGTCTCCGATCAGCGAGAGGTTGTCGAGGATATGACATCGCAGATGAGACAGCCGTTAGCTACGAAATCCACCAAGCGTCTGCCTTGGAAGCTCTGACACAAGCTACGTTGTAGACCCTGTGTATAGTTAGAGCTCTCTTCCCTGTGTAATAAAAGGTGTTCACGTTAAAAAGGCAGCTGTGTCAGCCACGAGACGAGCGATGCCCTTTAAAGCAGCAAAAATCTGACGAAAAAAAGGGCCCCGTATCTGCATGTAATCTGCGAAGGTCAACGACAGACGAAAGTATTTCGTGTGGAGAGAGTGTACAAGACATTTGTTTGATGTTCTGCGCAAAAACATTGGTGAATGGTATTCTGGAGGTGCTGCGTTAGAGTGCCTCGAGCGTGCAGCGGAGGCGAACGAGTGCATCAAGTCACGTCACACGTGAGATATAAGCGCCATCTGGCAGTCGTCTTAGAAAACAAAGCGCGTGGCTCGAAGACGGATGTGCGCGCCCATCGCAGAGATGATAAGGTGTAGAACGCAAGGCAACGGGTAGGTGTCACCACTATTTCATTTTAGCGAAGCGTCGGAAACACTCGCCTTTCCGTGCAAGCGTTGCATGGTCAGCGCAGCGTGATAAGCGCTACGGTCCTTAAAATTACTTATGTATCCCTTTCCTAGCAAGAGACGTACATGCAGAATACATACGTGTTGTTATGGTGCCCAAGACATGCGCAATAATTGCTTTTTAATTGACAATTGAACAAGCATGAATGCTCAAATTTGAGCAGCATTGGTGGGCGCTGTGAATGGGGTCAGCCGTTTCAAGTACCCAATGCCGTTAAGAGTGGATAAACAGACAAATGTACCGACAGACCAAAACTTTTGCGTCGAAGGTCCCCAATAAGACTATCGTCTTGAAAAAATGAGCAAAGCGGGTCACTCAGCTGTTTCTCTCGACGTTCATGAGCAGGAGTCCTTCGAGCACGCATCGCGAGGAGGAGGACTGCTGAAGCCAGGCGAAGGCCTGCCGCTGCCTGCCGAGCTGCATGGCGATCCAGTCGCGAGGCATCGGCGACAGCTCCGTGGTGGGCGACGGCAGGTCGTGGCACGTGAAGCCCGCGTTCTCGCAGAAGTCCACCACGATGCGGTTCGTGGACTCGGCCACCTCCACGGACACCGAACCCACCGAAGAGGACAGCCGGGGTGAGGTTGTGCCACCGCCGCTGCCCGCAGACCCTCCGAATTGGCCACTCTCGCTCACTTCCTGCGCACGGGAGGAAGGTATTATCACGAAGCTCTTATCGACTAAACGCTAATCTATAGGAGCAATATCCGGCTGTTATACACCTTTCTCTTGAGAAATAGCGGTAGACCACCAATCATGAGCGGTAGTCTGCCGGTAGTGGTAAACTACCCACCATCACTGGTAGTCGACCACTATCACTCAAAAGGATGGCGCATAATAGCTGTGACTTATGAGTACCAACTTCAGAGCACAGAAACATGGATGCACGAATGCAAAGAAGGTTTACATTGAACTGATGAGAACGCAGTAAGCGATAGAATAGAAAATGATATGTATAACCAGTAAGAAAGCAAAGCGGGCTTGGAAACAAAACTTTGGGTAATGATATCATTGTTGAAATCAAGAAGAAGTAGAAGAAATGATCATGGCCCGGACAGGTAAAGCGTAGGCAGGATAACTGCTGATCATATAGGCTAACTGACTGTATTTCAAGAAACGCAAACGCGTGAGACGGAAACAGAAAATCAGATAGGCATATGAGAATAGAAAGTCGGCAGGTAAAACGCGGCAGTAGAAAGCACAGGAGCGGGTTGTTTGGCGGAACGTGGAGGAGGTTCTCGCTCTGCGCTGGGCGTAGTTGGGCTGCTGTTGATGACGATACAGTAGAGTAGTCTGCCTGCCACCTGTTCGTTTCTATTTAAGACCCGAAGGAGAATCTTCAGACAGTCCCATGAAAGTGTTTGTCTTATGCCACGTAAGAGGAAGTGGACAGGATTGAAGTGAGATTTTATTTTTCAGATTCAGGCGTATAGATACTCCTCTCGACGTGCGAGGTCAACCACTCGTCAGTGTTGTGACATTGAACAGCTCTTATTTTAAAAGTATGAAACTCCTCAGCTTGAAACCAGCCCCATTTACACGATCTGTTGAAGCATAAAAAGGTTAATCTTTGAGCAATAAATGATTTGTACAAGGAAGTGAAAATGTGCCAGCACTGACGGAAATTTGTCACGAGCACTCTTAAACTACTGAGCAGGTATTAGGACTACTACGTTCAAGTGAATGCGAAGCACAGTCTGCAATAATGCTTATTTAGAGAATGCATCCATAGAAACCTAATGTCAGACAATGATTTAGAAAATAAAAATGTAGGTTAGGCGCACTGTTCAAATGTAGTATTTTTTTTCCTAATGCTCTAATGACGGTAACAGAAAACTTTCCATGATATAATGAGCTCTAAGTTAAGTTGTGTGAGTTCGATATTGCCACGTACGTGAATCTTTTTGAAGAGACTGTGAACTCCCTTTGGAAATACTTATGTTCACGTGTATGTCGTGGGATACAAAAGAGACTAAACGTGTTCTTTCAAAGATAGTCTGATATGTAACACGCCAGGATTTACCTAAAAGAGCAACGCATAATTTTAAAGAATATACTACAAAGAGGTAACTCACAAGAAAAAAAACCTATAAGAAGTCAAAGATAACCTACAAATTGTTTGTATTATTTAGTGCTCATCATATATTTGTTGCTTTAAATGTCTTTAATGCCTGATGCAGCCTTGCCTCGCTCCCTGGATCGGAGCAATGCCAAAGAGAGGGCTCCTATTTATACGCTGTATTGTGAAACTACGTAATCACACGCCCTTTGGGCTCACTTGGACTGCCAAAATTGCGGCACAAGTTTTCTTTGTTCTTGATATCGCTACCAGCCATCCGCCTACAAGGTCACTTAGGTTGCATTTATTTTTCAGGGCCTCATGCCTCCATAAGTATGAAAAATAATAGCGCTTAAAATGAACGGATACTAATGAAGACCCAACACAGGCACTGAGAGTTGTGTCCGAACTTGTCCCCGCCATATTTAGAAGCTTTTTTTTCCTACTTAATGACGAACCACCACATACCTAAGTTTTTCTTCTATTTCATTCTACCTAAACCATCTTTTCTTGGTACCACGCCATAGAAACGTTGCTTTAACACTTCGTCGTTTAGGTTTTGACGAGGTTGAATAAGTAAGCATTTGACCACTAAATCAGAAAACCACATGACAATGCAAAAAGAAATTCTTGGTGGAACGCTCCAGTTTTTTTTAACGCACGTGCAAGGGAAGATAGTGGTACGCTTTAGTCTCTGCGCACCATTCATACGGTCAGCCATCTTTATTTGCTACAGCTGCAATGGCGTCTAGGTGTTCTAAAGTAAGGGACTGGCTGCCAGCCCTTCACGGTGTGGAATAACGGCTGCCCAGCTCTGTGCTAAAGCGTGCGCAACGCATTGTGCAATTTTTAGGATGCCTCAAAATAGCGTAATGAGATTTGGCCGAGCGTGCTTTGCGCGCGCCGGTACACTTTCACTGAAGAATGTCTCGTGTAGTGGGTGCTGTCAATAACGCTTTTGGATAGGCATAACGACAATTCGTAGCAGACAATGCACGTACTCTATAAATGGGAACAAATCAAACGAAGAGGCACTTCCCTCCACAAAATGTTCACTGCCTGACACGTGAGGCGGAAGTGGCAGTTCCTTGTCGATGTGGCGGCAGCCACTTGTGGTGTTGTGCCCATTCGTTGCTGCTTAACGGATACTTATTGGATTTTGAATGAACTTCTTAAATGTCCTCCCTTCACAACGCTTTATTATACGCGAGTTTCTGCTGGCTTATAACTTCCAGAAAAAAAAAAACCTGCTGACCCGCAGGTCACGGATCGAATCCCGGTTTGTGGCGACTGCATTTCCAATGAAGGCGAAATTGCTGTAGGCCCACGTACTCTGATTTGGGTGCACGTTAAAGTACCCCAGGTGGTCGAAATTTCCAGGAGCCCTCCACTACGGCGTCTCTCATAATCATATCGCTGTTTTTTTAACGTTGGATATCACATATCAATCAATAATAAACAAAAAGTGCTCATCGAACAACTTCCTTTCTTACGTCGGCTTGCAGAATCTGTGATTCACTGAAAGCAACGCTACCTAATTGTATAGACAATTCATCTTAGGAAAGTTTAAGTGAGGCCTTCGGGATGTACCGAATCCAGTTCGCAATATCAAGGCCCAATACCTATACATGTGGACATTGGCCCAGACTTTTTATACCAAGTGCCAAAAATATTCTACAAACAGCACTGTTGTAATTGACTTTGTATCAATGCACATGACTTCAGTACGCTGAAAGCATTATTTGCATCGTCAGACGCTGGTCTTTATGTGCGCGTCGTGCTATGCATCGTTCACGTGACCTTGCTAACAGCGGGTCATGAAAACCAAGTACGATTCAGCCGGAACTAAACCCACGGACTAATTACTCAGCATATTCATTGAACGTTGTAGCTAATTTTACCACAGTTGGAAATTCGCTATGCACCATTGTACTAGTTAACTTCCTGGATGCCACAGTAGATGACCCAAAAAAAGAAAATTAAAGCCAACGCCGAACAAAAAACCGACAAGTTGTCAACAATATTTCGATCACACATGCGCTCGTGCTCGACGTTTCAAGCAAGAAATATTTGTCGGGCGGGTAAGGAGGATGAAAAGGAGAGCAAGAAATTGAACGCGATAGCGAAATCTGGCCCCTAGTGCGCCCTTCAACCACCAAGTACATACTTATCATTATGTTTTGTTACATGCACATACACCCACACAGTACATTGTACCAGCGCGCGCGCGCGAATGGTACATACAGGTTTCTGATCTAAATCAAGAAATGCATGGCCTCCAAGATACACGCCGCGCACTCGCCATCTCGGAGGCCATAAAGAGTCTCACCATGCCTCACAGGTAGCAGCACATTATCTAGCGTTTTCCGCTAGACGGACATAGTTGTTTATTTTAGAGCTGTTTTAAAGTTCCTGTGTGTTTTTAGCGGCGATGGCTGCACTATCCCGGCCTTTTAAGACGTAGTTTGAGGCCTCCCAAATGCGCCTACAAATTGCCGAATGGGCTCGTTTTCGTCGTGACACCTGTCGAACGACATGCGTTAAAGAGGCCCTAAAACACTTTTTCTAGTAAACATGGAATGAATTCACTAAAAGAGCCTATTGCCTCACAAACTCAACGCCGCAAAAATTTTAAGTATCTGTCCAGTGCGAGGGAAGTTACAAAGGTTTTTCCGCATGCTGCAATTGCATTATCTCTTCTCTCTTGCTAACGAAATCGCTGGAAGATAAGCAGGGAGTAGTGGCAGGGCAAAGAAACAACCGCGCCTCGTGACCTTGATCACTTTTTTTTCTTCAAGTGCGCGACTTTTTCAGTGTGATCGCGCGCGCACGCGTGGACAAGTATTGGCCTCAAGCGGCGATCTCTGTAACTTGCTTTTTCGCTCACGAACGATTTTTCGCTCACACCCAATGGTGCCGACGCCGACGGCGGGATTTCTGCGACACGAGCTCTCTAGCGCTATCGCGTTACAAATTAGTGATTGCGCGCCAAGCTGGGCCTGTTCGGCGTGGCCGCGCCGGTTGCATTGGCTCTCCGCAGAGCGCTGTCTCACTGAGCCATGTTCACCCTGACAGAAGATGCTTGTGTACATAAATAAAAAGAGAGTCAAAACATTTTCCAGGACATACCAAACGGTAACGCATGTGCACTGCGGGCATTTGCTTTCAGTGTGTTGTTCTGTATAGTTTATCAAGCTGTTATTCTATTATTCTATTTATTCTATTTATTCGGTACTATTTAGGACCAACCACGACGACGCCTACGGTATTGACCCCTTGAGCAACCTGAAGGAAACGCTTATCGAAAAAAAAAAATGCTGGCACGATGCGGTAAACATGTCTTCAACCAAGAGTGGAAATTTGGTGGAAAATTAGTGCAGGCTATGAAGAGAGCTCATTGCACAGCCAAACTAGCCGCCAGCATGCATAACCGAATACACTATGCTCCCGAAAGTAGATATTGTTTTCTAACAGTATTTTCGAATAGAGCAAGCATTGAGCGTCTTGGAAAAGCATTGTCCTAGTACCGAGGGTCAGCTATTGTTGTAAAAAGAACATATGGGGCGTGTTATTAGACGCA